TCAAGCGCACCAAGGGTGCTGGACTCAGTTTCTACCATAGTGGTGGGACTCTCAGTGGAAAACACAGAGACGGCCTGCCTCTCTGATATGCCACTTAAATCTTCTAGTCCTCCAATTTTTTATGAGTGCATAAATTCCAGCATGGTTTTGATATGCAAAGTTTTTGAGAATATAATTTAGAATTTGCGTTACCACTATGGAGACTTCTAAAAGGACCTAGAATTGGATTCTTTGGAGAATTTTGGGAATACTGCAGATAACACAGTGGTTGAGAGCGCCAGACAAAGTCAGACACCATAAATGATGATGTCTAAATGCGTTTTATCATTTCGCCTGCAAAGCAAACTTCTTGCGGAACTTAATTTCTGCAAATGTAAATTTATAATATAGATTATTATGAAGAAGTTTGTTGAATTTTGTTGTTCAGGTGAATTCCTCCCACTTATGCATTTCAGGAAATTAGGAGAATCAGAATTAAGCCCAATACAAATTAAAATACATGGTACTGGCGCGACTATGCAACAATGAAAACTCACAAAGCATAACTAACACTTCATAGGACGAAATGAACCACCAGACTTCTTAAAATTGACTTAAAATTTATCGGTGTCATCTAAGGGCTTCAAATCATGCCATAATTAAATAAACTGGTCAGTTTAATCTTGGTATGAACAAATTTGCAGTTGTTAGTCCACGACTATCGTAAAGGCAACAGCTTTATGTACCAAAGTGCTTGAATGAACTAAAGAAATCATTAAAGTTTATGATTACAATAGCAGCCTTGAAGATTAAAACAGGCGTAATACAAGCAGAATATGCACCGACGAAGCGTGGTAGGGCCTGGGGAATGGCGGCATGGCCTGAAGTCCAGCCTTCAGGGGGAGGGCGTAGTTACCAAGCCACAAATAAAGCATTACATGACATGTAGGCATATCTGCACGTATGTGACTCAAATGGGCAACAATGCCCCACTATTGTGGTATATTTTTATTGTTTGACTGTGGTGGAAGGAAATGCACAAACTCCATTAGCAACGCCTAAGCAATTCGATATTAGTTATCTAATTAACTTATCGAAATAACTTAGCAATAAATAAAGATAGTATTTGTATGCCAATAGCAAAGAGAAAGGAATTGAGATCACTGCATGAACAAGAGGCCAATTAAGCCACCGAAGGCAATTTGCCCATTTAAGTGACTGTAAGATGACCGCCCTTTTTAATGAAACTCTGATTTAATTTCCTGCAGCACGGTAGCAAGACTATTCTTAAAGACTTTCGAACTTTTCATAAATGATGCCTATTCTACGCAACCACTTTTAGTTTCAACATTGCATTCGCATTCTGCACCATGAACTAGAACCACTGGTAATATTTGGAGGGCAATGACTAAAACACCTAATGCAACACCTTGTTTATGTGATCATATGAAGTTTGGCGGACACTTCAGGATTTGTCTGGTTCTTGTACACGTGGGCTGGCCTTCGGGGCATACCCAGGCCCATTTGTCCTGTCGACTTCAGAATGCATGTATCCACCTGCGCTTACTGACTTCTTATACTGACCAGGAGGTCTCGGGACGCTACACATAATAAGGCTATATGTGTGATTGGCGCTCACTTTAGTGATCATCTTGTCTCTTTTAAGTGGGTTGGCTTTCGGGTCAAACCAAGTCTCCAATTCGACCTTCGCCCTTTGTATATACAAAAGAAAAAAAATGAACTAGATGTTGATCTTTATGTGCAAGAATTTTATCGAAAATAGTCGAGCTTCAACGCCTTTATCATGAAAGTAAAACTCATCCAGACAGGTTTAGGACTGATGCGGGATTAGTGAAGGCCTAAAATCCCATTTAATGTGAAAGAATGAGTGTGAAAACAAGGATCCTATTTGCTAAAAGCCCAACGACATATATTTAGGAGTTATTGTCCAACGTTTACCATGCTTTACTTTTAGGTCCATAACCAATTATTACCTTTATGCGGAAGCGCATTTATTTGGTAGTTCCTTGCCATAATTAAGCTTAAATACTTTGTATAAGATATGAACTAGATTTATTAAATTCGAAGTTTAAAAATAAAATTTTATGTGCATCCGCCGACTACTTTGGTGTTGTTTGGTTGTATAATTCGTTTGTGTTCGCATTTAGTAGGCGGGACAAACATGTCGGCTTTGGTGAGGTACTGGTCTATGGTTGTTTTGTAATATACTCACGTTTTTTTCTACTGCTCTTTGAAATAGTGTTCTTGAATAGCCTGTCTCGATGAGGGCATGCAACATGTAAAGGAACACGGTTTTGATATTGTCCATCTTGTAACTGCTCCTTGCTAAGTTGTGTCAAACGTATTTTAGCGCTTTTTTCCGTACTAACGCGGCATCCTTTCGCGGTCTGGCTGTTCGAAACCTCTCCGTGGTTTCACAGCCTTTTCTTCGTGCTTCCCCGGTTTTGAGCATGGCGAAACAATACAAGGGCAGCACGAGTGAAGAAGTGCGCCTTAAGGCTCAGAGCGAAATGCAAGATTACTGGGAAAGGAACATTAAACTCAAGCGTCCGTGGTCTCCTCACCTAACAATCTACTCACCGCCTCTTTGCATGCAGAATTCCTTCCTTCACCGCGCTACTGGCATTGCTATGGCTATTGGTGCGTCTTGCGTCATGTTCATTTTAACCCATTTTTTAATCTTGCAATGAACCCACTGCATCTTCTTAGTCTGGATGGGTGCTGGAGTTTCTGGCTTCTGGTACACGGGACACTTTGATGCCATGCTGGATTATGTCAACGGCTTCAGCATTGGACCTTCGCTTATATTTGGAGCTAAGTGCCTCCTTGCTTACCCATTAGTCTATCACTATACTAACGGAATGAGGCATCTGGTATGTACTTATGTGGTTAATTTCCATATTTCTATCTAACATCTAATGGATTACTAATCATGCTCTCCAGGCTTGGGATTACGCTATCGGCTTTGACATGAAAACGGTCAACTTGACTGGCTCCACTGTCCTCATCTTATCCGTTCTTCTTACTCTTGCACTGGCTTCCATCAGGCCCTAGATGCCAGTGATTTGGGTGTATATTTAGTTTCTTGAAAGTTCAGGAGAACATAATTGCTCTAACCCAGTGCTTGTTTGCCAATGTCGAAATCTGGTAGTTCCATCCCAGTGACTTTTTCGGCTTTTGTTGTCGTAGATTTTTGGATAACATGAGTAGCTTGAAAAATATTCTCTTTGTTGTCTTCTGCCATCTCTTGGTTGAGTTAACACCTGGCGTTCACTTTTAGTTACGTTTTCGATGTAATTTGTGGAGGGCTGAATTGCACTATAGTTTCGTTGGCTCACACTTCATTTGGCCGCATTAGCGATCAGATTGGGTTTTTTGTTTTGTGTATCGAATAGATATCACTCAGGGCACTATTTATCGGTGCTTAAGGCATTTAAGACTTGAATCCGCGTCTGCACAGGCGCTGTGTTGAACGGCAGGTGTAGTGATTTCCTCACCGCCTTTTGGTGGTTCACTACGGCCGTCGCTTCAACTATTTGAAGACGACATGGGTGCGATCATCTGTTTATGTTATCCAGGCGGTCACTAGTTACCAATCCGCTTAGGTATCATAGATTAGGTGTGGAAGCCTCGGGTATGTCCTATCATCTATCGGGGATCCCAGCTGTAGGGTACGGTTTTTATTTAATTGATTCCTCAAGCACTATATATGCTAAGAGAAGATGCCCTTTAGCACCTTGAGAAATGAATTGTCCTCAGCCTGTAAATGCTTGGGGTTACAAAATCAAGTGGCACTACAACCTCCATCTGTTATGCCATAGACTGCTTCTGGGATTAAATTTGTTTGCAAAATCTATAC